ACCTCATGTTAAGTACTTAATTCGTTCCGGAGGTCCGTTCTTAACCTGAAACTGTTCTTAACCTGAAGCACCACTTTAGTTAATGGGGCCTCCCGCTGCCACCGTGCCGCCGGAGAACGATTTCTGTTCTGAGCCTGAAGCAAAGTTCTTAACCCAAGGTACTATTTCTGGGTTAGCGGAGTCTGTAACCTGAAGCGTATGTAACCTGAAGCGTATGTATACCAAGGTACCACTGTATTTGGAACCCCACTAGAAAAAATCAGTGGTATGGGCAAGTGGCAGGCAGGGAAAGTTGATTGCCAATATATATGCAAGATGCAAGGCTTAAGCTTACTGATCTGCTAGCAAAATCCTTAGGAAAACTACTGGTCCCAAGAACCGCTAACACCAAAGTTATGGGGTGGAAAGATAGTTGATGAAATTGTAACTAGAAGTGACACCTACCAAGAGAAATCAATGAACAAGGACACTAACTCACCGAGACTGTGAACAGCTTGGAGAATCCGCTTCCCTCCTTGTGAACGCTTTATTTCAATATCACACAAGGAGACAATTCACTGGTGCCACTCTCCAGATTAGCTCCACAGAAATCAAATCAATTTTATCATTGCAGAGGGGAAGTGAGCTTTTCGCAGCTTTGTAATTTTGCTAGGTGCCGATATCAACAACTGACTTGTTTCAAAAGTTGTAGGTTTAGCTTCAAAAATATACACAAACAAATAGCTTCCCACCTAGGATGCTCCACAGAAGCAAGAGGCATGAAAATAGAAATTGGTTAACACACCCAGATTGATCCTGACTGTACACGCAAATGCAGGGAGGTAAGGGTGGCCTATGGAGTTGAAGGGATTTGATTCAAAAACCCTTGTTAGGTCACAGAATACATGGAGAAGAATAACGAGGAACATAAAAACCCTGCTGGGTCAGAGCAAAGGCCCATCTGCCCAGCATCCTTTTTATCAGAGTGGACAACCAGATGCCAATAAGAAGCCTGCAAGCAAGACTTGAATGCTTGTGATTTTTAGAAACTGGTATATTGCCTGTAACAGTGGAAGCAGAATATCCCCATTATGGCTAGTATTCACTGATAGCCTTATCTGCCATGAATATGTCTGATCCTAAGAGAGCCATAATTCCCAGGATTCTCTGGGAATGGAGATTGATTACTCAACTATTCTGGGCATTGTAGCTCTGTGAGGGAAATAGGAATCTTCTAAAAACTCTCAGGGGATGTGGGTTAAACCACAGAGCCTAGGACTTGCCGATCAGAAGGTCGGTGGTTCGAATCCCCACGACGGGGTGAGCTCCCATTGCTCAGTCCCTGCTCCTGCCAACCTAGCAGTTCGAAAGCACGTCAAAGTGCAAGTAGATAAATAGGTACCACTCCGGCGGGAAGGTAAATGGCATTTCCGTGTGCTGCTTTGGTTCGCCAGAAGTGGCTTAGTCATGCTGGCCACATGACCCAGAAGCTGTACGCCAGCTCCCTCGGCCAATAAAGCGAGATGAGCACCGCAACCCCAAAGTCGGTCATGACTAGACCTAATGGTCAGGGGTCCCTTTACCTTTACCTAAAAACTCTCAGAACTCTTAATAAGCTTAATAAACTCTTAACTTTTCCCAGGATACTTTGGGGAAGACATGACTGAAGTGGTATAATAGTGCTCTGAATATATAATGCAGATATGGCTCTGCATCATGTGTTGGAAACCTTTCTTTCTCCAGATGATGCCGAACTACAACTCCCATTATCCCTGGCCATTGACCATGCTTGCTGGGGTTGATGGGAGTTGTAGATCTGTAACATATGGAGGGCCAAAAATTCCGCAAGCCTGCCCTAGCTGAAGCTACATCTGTTTTATGGACTTCAAAGCAGCAAGCTTCTTTTAAATGCATTTGTCTCCATGGTCCATCCCAATTACTCCACCCTTTGAACCTGTGCAGTCTTAATTTTCCAGGAACTCAGAGGTGGAGGTTTTCACTTCAGTTTAAACTAATCTTTCTTCAGCTGTCAGTGTCAGAAAGTCCATTCTGAATCAGTTGGCTATCCTCACAGATGGGTTTGTTATTGACTTAAGAAGCAGGAGGGCTTTCAGGTATCCTTGCGCTGCTGTGCTCTCCATGTGCTGCTGCCAATTTACAAATTTCAGGAATGGGTTTCTTATTTTATTTTTATTTTTTTAAAAACTCCTATTTTCTGACAAAAAAAATTGTGATGCAATAAATATAAGAAAGGGAGGTAAAAGTGATCAGGGGGAGAACATTCAGTGAAATGGATACTGTAATTGCAATTTGTTTTACCGTTATCTCTTTTGTACACACACACACACACACAACCAGCTTTCCTGAAGTATATAGCATAGATTTTTAACAGTTTGTCTCAGAAATTTTCTCAATACCACTCCCATCTATCAAGGCACTTAGGTAATGCACACCATTGAGCTGTTATGTTGAGGAGACTCTAAAGTGCTTCAGTTTAGATGATCAGTGCATTTGAACTCCTCATTACATATGGGCAATACACTGCATCTCTGGATTCTTATTGGTTCAAATGACTGGACAGTTCATTTAGACATTTCCCTGTTTATATCAGTAGTAGACAACGTGATGGGGCATTGTCACTCACGACCTCCAGTCGGTAATGTTGCAAGTGCTTACTGGGAAGTAGAAGAAGAGTGGTGAGACGGTGGGAAAGTCAACTCAAGAGTGCTGGAGTGTCTCCATTGGTGCATTTGCACAGAGGGTGCAGGAGTCCTGCTCTCATCTTCATCTGGGCACCATACTTGGAATCATTGCTCTTTAATCCTAAATTTGCACATGTCAGTGAAGAAGTGTCAAGCAATAAGAAGAGGCTGTGTTACTTGCTTTTCAGGGACTTGCAAATTATTACCTGCCAGGAACCACTTGTATCCAACCAAGAGCCAGGATAATGGATGTCATTTGAGGTGAAATAGTGAGTTGACTCTGCACTGGGAGGATCTAGAATTTCACTCAGTGACCTGTGTGGTGTAGTGGTTAGAGTGTCATACTAGTACCTGGGTGACGGGAGTTCAAATCCTCACTTGGCCATGAAGCTCATTGAAAGAAGGGTGGGAGAAAATAAATAAGAATCCTGCTGCTACAATAAAATGGGTTTTGCCTGGTGGTTATCAGGGAAACAGGTGAACTGAATCATGGTGGGTCATCTGCTTTACATGCAGAACGTCCCAGGTTCAATCCCCTACATCTCCAAGTAAGGCTGGGAGCTATTTACCTGGAAATAAGACCCACTGAAGGGACGCGGGTGGCGCTGTGGGTAAAACCTCAGCGCCTAGGACTTGCCGATCGCATGGTCGGCAGTTCGAATCCCCGCGGCGGGGTGAGCTCCCGTCTTTCGGTCCCAGCGCCTGCCAACCTAGCAGTTCGAAAGCACCTCCGGGTGCAAGTAGATAAATAGGGACCGCTTACCAGCGGGAAGGTAAACGGCGTTCCGTGTGCTACGCTGGCTCGCCAGATGCAGCTTGTCACGCTGGCCACGTGACCCGGAAGTGTCTGCGGACAGCGCTGGCTCCCGGCCTATAGAGTGAGATGAGCGCACAACCCTAGAGTCTGGCAAGACTGGCCCGTACGGGCGAGGGGGGTACCTTTAAGACCCACTGAATGGGACTTGTGTCTAAGTAGACATGAATAGAATTGCACCGTAAATCTGTCAAGAAGAGTCCCCTGGACCTTTAAATAGCTGTGCTTTAAAAAAAGAGTTTTGAGCAAGCTGCTATCCCTTCTTCTAAACAATTATTAAATATATGCAAGCCCAGTTCTTCATCCCTAAAATAGGAACTTCAAACAGTACGTGGAGAGGTATCAATATGCACCTTTTGCTTATGGTACTTACTCATCTGTGAACAATGTTTATTTTTAGCTTCTACCACAGAGCTAAGAGAACACTAAAGCAGCACACTTATTTAAGGGCAATTCGCTCTGAAACAGGCATTCAAACCCTCACATGATGAGAGTCGCATGAGAGATAAGTGAGGCCATGCTCGCTGATGCTTGAGCATAAAGTGAACCTGCTTTGCATGCATAATACGCTCTTCATGTGATTTAGAACCCTGGTCATACAATGTTTTAAATCACATGAGGAGCCTGTGCTTGTTATCTGATGCAGTGGCCAGACTGCTGATGGGTACATCTGGCCAACAACATGGAACACCACTGTTAAAAACATCTGCACCAGCAGTCCATCTACTACTGAGCCAGGTTCAAGGTTCGTGCGCTAATTTAAAAAGCCCTGAACAACTGAACAGCATCATGGGTGGCGCTGATGGGAGTTGGAGTCCAAATATGTATGTTTTGCTCATTTCTGAAAATAAACACACGTTGGTAGTAGAGTGGTCAAATGAAAGAGAGGACCCCTGTGCCTTCAATAGATATGCCAAAGAAGAAGTTGTGGCAGGTGTGTACAAGTCCTAGTGATACACTTGAATAATTTTAGCTCCTGGACTTATCCATCCATCCCATCTCTTTAAACGTCTTATTTCAAAACATTGTAAATCAGCCCTGGTGCATTTGGGGGAACTTGCACTCATCCTGCTGAGTTGGGCCCTAGGCTCCTGCTCCAAAATCCTGCCACTGACATGCAGCACTCCCAAATCAGGGCAAAGGGCTATCTACTCCACATTTATGTTTGTCAAAGTCACCAGCAGATGCCTCTAGGGAGCTCACAAACAGGGCTTGAAGGCAACTCCCCTCCCTTTCCTTTGTCCTTGGATCTGCCCATGAGAAACTTGCCAGGTTGCCATAAAACTCCACCTGTTGAAGCTCTTTGATTTATACAGCTATTCATACTACAGGAGCCCTGTCCTCCTTTATATAGGAAGTGGGTATAAGGCTGTAATCTGAACCATATTTACTTGGACATAAACCTGACTGAAATTGATAGGACTTACTGCCAGGTAAGTTTGGTTTGAATCAGTCTACAAGTTTTCAGTACAATGCTAACTTGTTCACATGAGACATGCCATTTGTCAACTGATTTTTATTTTGATGTTGTATTTTACTGGAGAAAAACACCATCATTTCTCTAGCTATACCCCCAACCCCAGTGGCAATCTCTTCTTTTCAGATGTTTTCAGATTTGGAAGTTCAGCAAGTAAGTCTAATTTTTTCCTTTATGTATTTAAGCCTCAGGCATCATGGCTCAGAGCCCTGTTAAGGCACATCCACAATTGCCCATTGCATAGCTCAAGGTCTACTTCAAACAGAAGTCAGACTTGACCAAAACCTGTAGACAGGGAAGTTTGAGGAGCAGGAAGGAAGAAGGAAATTTCTTAGGCAATAGCAAACTAATTTCATTAGAATAGCCCTCTTCCTGTAAAGGCATGGTAATTCTCAAACTTAGAATGAGGCTACTGTCCAGTGGTGGTGTATTAGCATACTAAATGCATCTATTTATTTGTCAATACCTCATATTCTCTATAAGGAGCTCAGAAAGGTTCACTCATTTCTGCCCCTCCCTATTGCATCATCACAACAAGCTTATGAGATAGCTTAGGCTGAGAGTTGGGGCCTTTTCACACTTACCGCTTATGCCATAAATGCTGTTTGGTAACATTTTGCTGCTATTAGAGAGTGAGCATGGGGTTTTCCTTCCCACACCAATGGTTGGCTATGACTGAACTGAGAAAATGCCTGTGACCCCTTGTGTTCCCCCAGCCAGTAAATGTTGGAGTTATGAGTATGCATTCAGGGATATCCTTTTCATAGCCTTTTCTAGTTAATGTTTACTATTCCAGAATTCCAATCTTGTGAGAGTGTAGGAGGCTATCTTTGTATCTACCAGATACATAACTATTGTAATGAGATTTCACCTGCAGCAAATGCAATGGGCAGTACTTTGACTCAGTACCATCATCTCTTTTTGCCACATCTCTCCTCTGAACTGAACTTGCACAACGACAGCCCACTTTGCTCAGAGGGTAGTGGCATGAAACATTTGTCTCTCAAACCATACCCTCCATACCATACCCTGTCTCTCCAAACAGCAAATGATACAATGCTTGTGTGTGTGCCACACAAATGAAAATATTGCAGATCAATTCTGGATCTCTCACAGAAGGTTATTTCTGCAGTAGAAGGAAATATGTTTTGTTTTGTTTTAGTACATTATTCTGGGATACCAGCAGAATAATGATTTTGTGATGCAGTTCTCCAATGAATTCACATGAAATTGTGTAGATTGGAGAAAAGAGCTTGCAAACATGCATATATTTGTGAGAATGTGCAAAAATACATCAGATGGGGGGTAATGGCTAGCAAACCGTGTATTCTAGGGGAAATTGCATGCATACATTATGAGAAAAACAGTATTATTATTTAATAATAATAATACTGTTTTTCTCCTAATTATTATTTAATAATAATAATAATAATACCCTGCCCAGCTTGCTGGGTCTCTCTAGCCACTCTGGGAGGCTCCCAACATAATATTAAAAACATAATAAAACATCAAACATTAAAAACTTCCCTAAACAGGGCTGCCTTCAGGTGTCTCCTTGCCTGCTGTGCCTCACAGAGCCAAGAAAGCTGGAGTAATCCATGTCGAATGGATACCTGTCTGTGAATGAGTCCCCTGTACTGTCTGATCTGGCCTGATCCTGTACAGCCATAGGAATTGCTGCTTTTGGTTCATTCTCTCAGCTGTAGCCAATACCCCTGTTTGCCTCCCGAAACCTGCAGCCTTGCCAGCCACTGTGCTCTCGCCATCTCAGTGCTTGATACAGATTCCTCAGTTCAACTTTTGCTTTCTCCAATGCAATGTGGCACAGGACTGATTTTCCTTCTTATTGTACGATATGGTGATCATTTTCACTGCAAATTGAATAATCCCTGTGCTGCAATAACGTGTCCAACACTTTCACCCGGAACCCTAAATCATTATAAAATGGAGTAAGCCAGATTCTCTCCCAAGAGCCAAATGCATTGTTTCCCCATCTGAATTAATTTTTACTATATTACTTCCCCACCCCCTCACAAAAAAACCTTTGTCTGTTGTTTTTCTCCTTGCTGCTATCTTTAATTGGATGGCTTTCTTGGGCTTCATCCAATTCTCCTGATCTGTATGCTGTCTATTCCATTGTTTCATTGGAGATCTCTGCAAAGAGCAATTCTACCTGACAGTTTCCTTCTCAGATTCCTGCTCAGTGAATAATTTAGAAATGAAACTCAAATACTGATTTTTTTTTAAGTTGCCCTGCAGTCAGTGTTACTCCACTATAAAAAAAATTAAATAATGTCATACTATTACAGGATTAGGGATGCGAGTGGTGCTGTGGGTTAAACCACAGAGCCTAGGACTTGCCAATCAGAAGGTCGGCGGTTCGAATCCCCGCGAAGGTGTGAGCTCCCGTTGCTCGGTCCCTGCTCCTGCCAACCTAGCAGTTCGAAAGAACATCAAAGTGCAAGTAGATAAATAGGTACCGCTCCGGCAGGAAGGTACACGGCGTTTCTGTGCGCTGCTCTGGTTTGCCAGAAGTGGCTTAGTCATGCTGGCCACATGACCCGGAAGCTGTATGCCAGCTCCCTCGGCCAATAAAGCGAGATGAGCGCCGCAACCCCAGAGTCAGTCATGACTGGACTTAATGGTCAGGGGTCCGTTTACCTTTACCTTTATTACAGGATTACAGCAGAGGTAGGAAACTTGTAACTCTCCAAATATTGCTGAACTTCAGCGTCCATCATCCCTGACCATTGGTCTTGTTAACTGGCACTGATAGGAGTTGCAGTTCAACATCATCTGGAGGGTCACATGTTTCCCACCCCTGTTCTAGAGATATATAGATACCATTTAGATCAGAGAAGGGGAATCTGTAGACTGCCAAATTGTACTGGACTCCAACCCCCATCATATCTGACTACAGGCACCCTCCCATTTATGTGTGGATTATGTTCTGAGGCACCATGTGCATCGGTGAAATTGCATATGATTGAAGCCCACTGGGAAAACCTGCAAACACCCCTGCCCTGCCACCATTCTGGCCCTGCCCTGACCCTGTTCCATCCTTCTAGCGATGTTTCAGTAACATGTTTATGACATTTCCAGGTCAATTATGGGTTCAGTGTGTTGCACGTATACACGGTCACACACATATTGAATGCATGAAATGGGCTGCTGGGAATTGGAGTCCAACAAAAGCTGGCCAGCCACAGGTGCAAGCTGGAGTATAGCATAGAGAAATTCAAGAGTTTCTTTCTTAGGAGCTAATTTTAAACACTCTGATTAGCAAAATTTGAGAAAGAAACGGAACCATGCTGTGTAAAGCAGGATTTTCCTGCATTTCAGAAAACACTGCTCCTTCTGTCCCAAGGACATGTGCAAAGTATGTTAGCTGAAGTGTCATTTAATTTGCCTCACAGAAGCTGTGTTGTTTGTCAACATTTGATTGCTTGCAGATTCCCCATGAAGAGTTAGAAAGTTTGCAAACTTCCTGTGACATTGAAGGAACTTGGCCAGTGAATGGAAGGTAGAGGAATTGAGGGGAGAGACATGCAGGAGACAGGTGGCGAAATAAGCAACAGTCAGATATATTCTTCCTTTGATTTCTTTGTTGTTTTGCTGGATATTTTTTTACACAGAACCCAAAATCGCTTCTGACTATGTAATTGCAGGCAGGCTTGCAAATTTTATATTCAGAGATTTATACTAAGGAAAGTCACTTGATCTATACCTGTAGTAGAGGCTTCTGCATAACTGGCTTTTCGCATGGATTCACTCTTGCCTGCTGCTTGAAGATAGCAAACAGTGAATACTTTTCATTGCCTCTTTGCTTGTCTTAACCCTCTGAGTGTAAGTTGACAGGAGGGGTGGGGAATAGAGAAGTAGGAATAGTTTTATAAACAGCAAAGCACTCAGTGCTCAGCTTCTTGGCAGAGAGGACCCAAAGGGTCTGCAATTACTTTCCTTGCACACACTTTCCATAAAGTTATTGGATATTCTTTTTGGAGAGGAATGTCTAACAAGGGACACAGCTTGAAGTACAGTTCCTGCTGTGAATCTGATATGAGGTTTGCTAGAAACCACAGAGGAGGCTATAGGAGATCACTTATCAGTTGTGTGGAGCTCTTATTTCCAGTCTCTGTGGTTAGGTGATGCGTTACCCATGAGACGATGGATCCAATCCTTGGTAATAACCATCCCTTGCAAAAGCATCACTGAAACAAATGAGATGGTGGTCCAGCATTAAGTGGCTCTGCAGCAGGCTCCATCAGCTTTCCACAGCAGACAGTGTGATCAGACCCTGACAATGCAATCCTCAATGTGTTTACTTAGAAGTAAGGATGAGTAAATGTGTCAATTTCAATTTCCCTCCAGTTTTCTTTTCTTTTTTCCAATCTAAAAATTTAGTTCTCCACATTTCCACATCAGTTTGCAAGTTTTTATAACAAAAAAAATGCTATTTGAGTGTAAATTTATCTTAATATATATGCTTATATGCAAATATTATATGCACCATTTTACATACACAGCTATAGGCACTTGTGGTGGACATTTCTGAAGGTGGCAATTTGGGGGGGGGAGTGTTTAAATGAGATAAGTAAAATTACATAAGTAAAATTACATTATCAGCATGTCACAAAGTCTTCAGAGCTTGCATTGCTGAAACTGTATTTAAATTAGAATCAAAACTTGGTAGATAAACTACTAATTGGATTTCTCTTAGTGGCAGCATGTATGCTTGCACCCACATGAGTCTGGAAGGACTTAAAAGGTCCAAACTTGAATGCTCAGTACAAGAGGGTATGGTGTGTTACCCTTATGGAAAAAAGGACTCGCAAATTAAAACTGGCAAGAGGAACAAAGCACAAAGATACCTTTGTGGGAGAACTGTGGTGTTTCATATTGTTTACAAACTCTACAGAAAACCAAAGACCACTTCCAAACGTTTATACAAACTTGTTGATCACTTATTAGAAGCACGTATTCATAATGTATTGGGGGGAGGAGTCTCCGGGGAAAAAAATTTTTAAGTACACAATTTTGCAAAGGAATTTCGCCTAATATAATGCAGTTCTGCATTTTATGTTCACTAATTTATGCATTTTAATGCACAGTTTACCCCAATATATGCATTTTTAACACATTACTTGGCTGTAGAAATGCACTGCAGAATTCAGAGAGCTGTGGATTCTGAAGGTCTTCTGTGTTTTGGAAAGTGTGGGTGTGGTAGGTTCACCTATAAATGTGAACGGAATTGAATTTCTCCTTCACCCAGAAGCAAATTGAGCTGAGTTCAATGGATTTGCTTCCAGGTAAGTGTGCATCAGATTGCAGTCTACATACTTGTTTCCTTGCAATGGGACAGCAAGATCACAGTTGCCTGCCCGCTGCCTGAACCTGGTTTGCCACTCTACATACCTTTAATGTCAAATAATGTATATGGATGTACAGTCCAATATATA